AGAGATTGTGTGTAACTACAACAGGTGAGCACTAGCATTGCTCGTTTTAGAAGAGGTTAAAAGGGCATTTTTGGTTTTGTTCTTTAAGGGGCACAGAAAGAAAGAAAAGTAAATGCATTTCACAGGCCAGTGTAACTGTTGGAACAAGGAATGACATTTAGACACCGCTCTGCAGCCAGTGAAAGAGGCTGTGGCCTTTCGCTTCCAAAGCGTTCCCAGCTTTAGCAGGAATTACATGAAACCACTCACAGTACTGTGCACCCTGAAGCACCACGTCCCTAAAAGGATCAAGTAGGGATGATGACTATGGCGAGATCTGGGATGGACATTGTGGCTCTGCTTGTCTATTGTTACCTGTTGCATTGTCCTCAGGAAACATCTCTTCCTGAGTTGACAAGATATCTGACTCCTCGTGACCAGAACCACGGGGTTTCTCAGTCTTAGTAGGGTCACAGACAGGTTTTTGCCTCCCGCTATGATCTTCTGCTTTCTCCACAGTTCTGGAAAGGCAAGACACAGCTGCTAAGGTGAGAAATTCCAAGTCTGAAGTAATACTGCAGCACTGTAAACAAGATTTATCAGCAGAGGTGGGTTTACCGCAGAAAAATGAAATGAGAGAGGAAAATGTGCAAACAAGAGCGGGAGCATGAGCTCTCCTGACAAGTTGTGTTTTCAGAATTCCTTGACCAGGAAATTCCTTGAACATCCTTGGGAAGTTACATTTTCAGAACTGTTGGTAAGTTTTCTACCAATCTAAGTGATGCCTCAATGGACTGCTGATCCTTCTACTGCCTTCTAGTCCCTGTGGGTTCTAGGGATTGTGTTATGCCTCCTTTTCAGTACCATGTGGTGGCAGAACACAAGACCCGGGGAGCTAAACACAGTTCTATCTGGCACAGAAGACGTGCAGACTTTTCAACGAACTGCAAGTTTCACTCAAGACCACTCAGAGCCACGAAGGTTACAACAGCGAATACTCAGAAGCGCCCTGAACAGCCACCCTGTTCTGCCGTGAGGCCGAGGCCTGGGCTGCAGCAGTTACTCTTAAGTAACTTCTGTGACTTAAACTGAATTATTGCTTTTAATATCCTCCAGTTGCTGAACTGGAAGAAAATTATTAGTGTGTTTCATGACGTAGTGCAATCTCCCGTAAAAGGAAACCTGTTGCCATTGCTGTGCTAAGGCTGACACCACCTCCTCCCCAGCCAGGGCGGTGGAAGCAGCCCGGGCAGCGCTGCTGCAAGGAGCTCTCATCGGTACTTCATCTCCCCCTTCACATCTCTCCTCTGCCCTGAAGCCTGAACCCTCCCATGTCTAAACATCTAGTAAAAAGCCACAAACCAACTTCCAGAATGTCAGCAAGAGACCTACAAAGAGCAGGGACTGTTTCACCTTTCAGTCTCCTCTGGCTGCTCTCCCAAAGCCGTGTGTGCGGCTGTGCTGGAGACGGGTTCCGTGCTACCCCCGCGCGGCTCTAGCGAGAGAGAGAGGGAGAAATCCTTGTCACTCGTCACCTGGATTAACATACTGAGAATAAAGTGCAGCTCTGTAAATGACACAATTATCAAGACAAACTTCACATGACAAGAAAACAAAACAATCTTCAGCTATCAACAACAGCAAAAAAGGACAGGGTGAGGTTTTACCAGGGAGGGAATTCAGCACCACGTTGTCTGAATATCCTGGAAATAAACTAGCAGGGAGAGATGCAAGAATGAAGGGCAGCACTTGCACAGCTACAGGAAAGCAAATGAACTAGCGCAAAGGAAAGAAAAACCTTCTCAACTAGCAATGAGCTGTGAACTCATTTTGGAAAGCCACTGACACTGTATTTCCTGTCAAAGAAACCAAACGTCTGTAACTTCAAGAAACTGGGGGGAACTGACAGCACAAGAGGACAGCTGAGCCCATCTGCACACACCATCGTCCTTTGCAAGTCTGGAAGCAGGGACAGCAGCTCCAGGGTGACACTGATGCGCAGCATCCCCTTCACTGGGCATGAAGTCACTCTCGAAGTCCTGGCTCTGTGAGAGCTCGAGCGCGCCAAACTGCAGCTGCGACATGCCTGTATCTAACACAAACGCCCATCATTAATATCTCTACACCCCCAAAATCCAAAAGCCACCTATCACTTTACACGGGCAAAAGATAGACCCTCTATCGAGAAAAGTACTGAGGCTCTTGCTGAAACTCTGAGTGAACAGACTCCGATCCCCGGGCACTAATTACAAACACAGGGACAGAACAGGGACAGTGGCCGTTAACTCGGAGAGCAGAGTGAACCAGCGAGCTCTTATGTAACGCCCTCAGGTACTGCAGCGGATTTGCATTCCGTGAGGAGCAAACAACCCTGATAACAGGCAGCCTGTGCCGGAGCCTGCTCTGATGGCAACAACAGTGGCTGCAAGAGCTCTTCCCTGGCACAGAAAGGCTCCATCTCCCAGCGGCACCCACACCCTGCCGAGGCCGTTTCCTGCCTCTGAGCCCCTTGTGAACAAGGCCATGAAATCACCATGTTTTTCCAAACACCAACTTCCAGGAAAAGCTGCCGATTTCCCACCCGCTGTTACCGGCACAGCCCCCCGAGACAAGCGATGCCGCTGGACGGAAAAGCTACACAGATGCTGGATCGGGCTCCGGCCCCACGCAGAGACCCGGACGGGAGCCGGTAC